CAGTTACTTGCTTTGCAGCAGAGAGCTGGACAATGACTAAGGATGACAGAAGAATTGATGTTTTTGAGTTATGGGACTGTGTATGTTCAAGAAGAGTATTGGACTGCCATGGACTACCAAGGAAACAAATAGGTATGTCTTGGGGAGGGTGAAATCAAGTTTCTTCTTGGAGGCTAGGATTTTGAAGCTCTACCTAGCATACTTTAGGCATATAGCCAGGAAAGATTGGTCCTAGGAGGACATCATGCTCAAAAGGGTGGACAGTGCAGGAGGAAGACTTCAGATGAGATGGATTAACACAATGACCGAGGTAATGGGGGCAGATGTGTCAAGAGATTGGCTCAGGACAGAGTAGTATCCTGAGCTATTGTACATAGGGTTTCTATGAGTTGCAAGCAACTTGATGGCACATGACAACATCACATGTCAATCATATGTTGTTACTGTTATGCACCATATCGTCAGAACCAACTCATAGCTGACCTGCCAGCAGGTTTTCAGAGGCAGATAATAGCAAAAGAGGAAATTGCTCACCTTTCTCCTATGGAGCAGCTGGTAGATTTGAACTGTATGCCTTTGGGTTGGCAGCACTACTCCCAGAGAGCTCTTAGTATATGTAGCAATTACTTATCTATTTAATAGCACAGTCTTGCTCTGCAGCTTAGGACACAATTAAGATGAAAACTTTCCAAAGACCCCTAATTATAACCCAGTGGGATGGGAAATAGGCACACACCTATATCACACGCGAGAAGGCTCTAGAAGAGCTTACCTGGGTGGAAATTCAGGTACCTTCCTTCAAAACTTCTAACCTTTGGGGCAGCAAGAAGTTACCTTAGACATCCAAACAGAAAACGTAGCCAGAGTGCCCCTTGGAGGCAAAGTTGATAAAGCTGAATCTCAAATCTCACCTACTTCAGGCATGTTACTAGGAAAGGCTATTCATTCCATCATGCTTGGAAAAGTGGAGTCTTGGCAAAAGAGAAGAAGACCCTCAACCAGGTGGATTGACAGTGACTGTGGCCCTGGGCTTCAGTGTGTCAGTAAGTGTGAAGATGGCTCAGGAATAGGACAGGCTTCAGATCTGTTGTTCATGGGGTCACGATCGGTTGTACTCAACCTGATGACACCTGCTTAGTTGATAAGCACATATCTTCTTTCCATTTCCAACAAGGCCATCTAAGTTAAGACATTATTCTTTGCAAGGTAATGTTATACAGAACTCCACCACACTGTAACAGCAGATGAACTTATCCTCCAGGAAAGTGTTACAGGATAGTCACCCTTAAGAGACCCTCTAAGTGAAAGCATGTGTGTATATGTGCTGATTTCATTAAAAGACAAAAAATTACTCCTACATGCCTGCCTGCCTCTCATATTCTCGGAAATAATTCTGTTCCATTAAGTTGTCTCACTCATTGCTATTGAATCAAAACCAACTTCTTCTTTGAAAGCACAGCATTCAAAATATTGAAAATGCTATTTGTGTTTGAGATGGCAACTCAAAGTTCCTCTATGGAAGTTTATGGGTTGATGTTCAAGTTGACTCCAATTGCATGTAAGTCCATTGCTGAAGTTGCTGTGTCATTGAGGACCTTCCTCTTTTGTGGGCCTTCCACTTTTCCAAGTATGCTGTCCTTTTGCAGAGACTGGACTTTCTGGGTAATACACCCCAAATGCATAAAACAAAGTTTCACTATCCTTGCTTCTAAGGCCCATTCTCGCTTCACTTCTTCAAGACAGATTTTTTTTTTGGGGGGGGGGTAGGGGTGGTTTTGGTAGAACATGGTATATTTAACACACACCACTAATGCCATCATCCAAAGGCATATTTCTTCAGTCTTGTTCATTTTTCAATTTTCACATTCATATAATGCAACTGAGAACACCATTGTTTGAGCCATGTGTCTTTAAAAGTATATCCATACTCATTAGCACTTTTAAAAGGTCCTGGGAAACAGATTTTTCCTAATGCAATGTCGATTTACTTTTTACTGCCACTTCTGTGGGTGTTGGCTGTATATACTAATAAAATGAAAACCTTAACAACTTCAAACTTTTGGGAGATTTGTTCTCATTACGTAGAAATATATCCAAACCGAAGGCTGTAGTTGATCTTCTTTATTGATCTTCTTTAGCAAGTGCTTCAAATTCTCTTCACTTTTATCAAAGAAGGTTGTGTTATCTGTATCACGCAGGCTGTTGATGATCCTGAAGCCACACTCCTCTTCATATAGTCCACTTCTTGGATCATTTGATCAACATTCAGATTGAATAAGTATAGTGAAAGGATACAACATTGACAGACACTTTTAAAATTTTAATTCATGTAGTATGTCCTTGATCTGTTCAAATAAATGTTTCTTGGTACATATACAGGCTCCCTATGAGCACAATATAGTTAACTTTAAAGTACCTGCTGTTTGAGGGGAATGATGTAAATTGCATTGAAACAGATGAGGGAGAGAACTCTTTAAAAGGGACATATAACTGGGTATTCTTGTCATTACAGAAGTCTAGAGTGAAGGCTGCACAGTGGAGTGAACTTGGGGGGAGAGATTGCATAACAATGAAATAGTTTTTCTTCTTCTTTTCAAGGAGAAGAATGATTGGGGGGAGGGGGTGGGTAGAGAGAAAAATGCAACAATGAATGAATGGAAACCCAAAGTCTCTGTAAACTTTCATTAAAATTAATTTTTTTTTAAAAAAGTACCTGCTGTTTACTAGGTTTGGTAGAACATGGTATATTTAACACACACCACTAATGCCATCATTCAAAGGCATAATTTGTCAATGTTTTGTAATAATTTCTTTTAACCTACAAATTTCAACAATTAGAATAGTTACAAATGTAGCAAGTGTTAAGAGGCTTTCTCTAGGTGTATAATTACTGGTGAAAGAGTTATAATAATCTGTGGATTTATTAAGGCAGGCATTATAAGCCAGTTCTTAGTAAAGTATATGGGTGATTCTGACAACTAGGCTCATTTAAAAAAAAAAGCGACACACATCACACTGCAAACATTGAAATGTATTCAAGTCACTTGGTACACTAGCCTAAATGCAAATAACAGAGGGAATGTGTTGACTCAACTAGAAAATCTGGTGAGAGGAAAGACATCAGACTTGGGAGCAGGTGTGGTCTGATGCCCATGTTTTTCATCTAATGTCAAGTTTATCCTGTTGTGAGTCACAGTTGCGTGTTAGCTGTCAGCAGTCGGAGACAAGTGCCTCCTCTTTCACAACCAGAAAGAGCACATGCTTCTGTCCCAACATTCCACTCTCCAATCTGGGTGTCACCTGGATTGGAGCAGCTGGCACTGCATGCCCGATCCCTACTGAAGGACTGTGGCCAGGGAAATGGTTTATGGTAATGGGTTTCCATCAATCAGGGTTCAACTGAGCTGGAGAGGAATCATTTCCAGAAAAAAGACATAAGCTATGTGAAAACCAGGTAGATTCTGTCAGGGGAGTCTAGACCGAGGAGAAAATGAATGTTAGATATCTACTACACATGGCTATCTAAGACAATATCAAGACCCACAATGTATCATTGAAAATGGTTGTACTGTCAACTTAAAAGCAGCTGTTCTGCAAGAGTAAGATAGGCAATATTTTCTTGTGCGATTCATATCCTCTGAAAACCTGCTTGGAGGGTCCGTGTCTAGTCGGTTCCTACTCAATGGCATACAATGACAAGAAGGAAACAATTTCCAGAGTACAGACTAGGAAGAACAAAAATAATCCAAGGCCAGTATGTTTCTTTTTTTATTATTATTATGTTTGTGTTTGACTTACGATGGTTGAATTCATTTTCATTTATAAGCATTACATTAATTCCCATGCAAAAACCCCAAGACCACATGTGCCTGATTCCAATCAGCCAAAATCCAAACTATGAATATAGTCTTGACATTCAAGATTAAAACCAAGGCGCTGCTTGGTCTTTCCAACAGCAGATCTCTTGGGTATCCACTGAAAAGACTGGCAGGCTCCCTGACTTCTCAAACACCACGGTTTGATATCGAGTCTGCACCAAAACAGGGAGCCAATACCATGTGGCACCAAACCCTGGCAGGCAATTTCACCCATGAAGACAGGATGCCCCTAGGCCAAAGATACTGTCCACAGACAATTCCTGGTTGTTGACCACCAGCAGAGGCTGGTTCCTAGCAGGTATGGCATCTTCAACTTGGGGGCCATCATTCCTCCTGTCAGTTTTCCTCAAAACTCTCAGCAAGGTAAGGAGACTTTACAAAAAAGCTTACCTCTGTAAAGGTAAGAGAGAAATAAATACAAAGACAACTATTTTATCAAGTAGATCTTTCCCCCCCCAGCTTTTAGGTAAAGTCAATCAACAGGTATAAAGCTTTAAAAATTTCTCCCAGTAAGACAAGGAAACAGAATAATCAAAGAGGGCAGCACAGGACCCCACAGTTAAAGGAGAACTAAACTCAAACAGATAATCATTCTTTCTATTGGGGGGAAAAAAGCCCCAAAACATGTTTAATGAAACAAAGAAGTAATAGCGTTTCAACCAGTGGATGTTAATTTTACTAAAACATACACAACTGGAACTCAGACAATGGCAAAGATTTCATTAGTGCAAATAACAATTATAATGGTAATGTTCTCCAATAATATTTAAATAAGGCGTCAAATAATTAACACACGCTAAAACGAACATTTGAAAACCTTAACACAGGTTGGAAAGCTGTCAAATACACCCTCCAAAACCATCTAAGGTTCTGATGAGAGGACAATTACATTCAACGAAATTGCTCCAAAGCACAATGTGTAGCATCACCACACCCAAAGTTTACCATGTTTGGTGAAAAGAGGGGACACTAATCTGGCAACTGGTGAAAAGACGGAAAAATGCCAGGTAATTCCCCAATTCTGACAAGTCTCTCTATATCTACAGTGAGAAAAATGCATTCATGGGGAGGAGGGCGTGTGTAAAACAAAACAATACTGAAAAGTCAGCAAAAGATTTCTTTCCCTAACCCCATTAGTAAATTTGCACAAAGTATAAAACAGAAAAATACAAGGGATTCATGGGCATTTTCTTCTATGGCTCGAGTTCTAAAAAACAAACCCAAACCCTCCAAAAAACAAAACCAAAATACAGTTAGGTGAAAAATTCAGCAACAACAACAAAAATTAAAGAGGCAGAATATAAAATAGTAATATACTGTTTCAGAGCCTGCCCCACCCTGCGGACGCAGGAAACGGAAAATGTGTTCTCAACAGATCCAATCGAGGCTGGATATGTAAAAAACGGAAAGCCAGCCTCACAAACCCCACTACACAGTGGTCAGAGTGTTAAAACCAGGAAAGAGGAAGGGGCGAGGGGAGGACAAAAAAAGAAAAAAATGGGCCAGGAAAACACTCAGAAAAATTTATCATCAATTCGAAAATGGGGCCTTGTGACATCGTCAGGGTTAATAAAGACGGAGATGGACTTCCCCGGGTTCTCAGTCACAAGCTGCTGCAGTTTTTTGGCCAGGCGGTCATCGGGCTGGTTGGGGTCCCCGCCGTCGGACTGTGGGGAGGGGATGCTGGCGGTGCTGCCCCTGCGCTGCAGCTCCAGCGTCAGCCGGTTGGCCGCCTTCACGTGCTCTATGGCCGTGCGCAAGTGCTCGGCGGGGTCTGAGCGCACGGAGGAGAGCTTCCGAGCGTGCAGCATGACCGTCTCCTCCGACAGGTGCTCCAGCATGTTGCACTGTGGGATGAAGTAATTGGGGCACATCTTGTTGACGAGACAGTGCTGCAGGTCGTCGATGAGGCCCAGCAGGAAGTGGGCTGCATAGTCTTCTTGAGCCAAGTAGTTGGCAGGCAGTCTGTCGCACGCCCAGAGCATCATGCTCCGCAGGTGATAGGGACTAATGGCCTTGGGCCGCGACAGCAGTTTAATGATGATGGCTTTGCAGGCCTGGTAGGCTTGCATGAGGCTGCTGGAGATGCACTTCTTCAACTGTACCTCGCTCCTGGCAAAGGACAGGCGCCACTCGTTGTCCTTCTTCCCTTTGTAGGAGCAAGCGGGCACCAAGTAAAACCCACTGATGACCTCTTCCTCCGTGATCTTCCCATCCCAAAAGTGATTCTCCATGAGCCAGCTCTGGGCCACCGCAGGCCAGCCTTTGAAGGAGACCACGGGCACAATGTCGTAGAGCATGCGACTGCTGCCCACGCCCAGGATGATGGAGATGATGGTCCCATTCTTTTCCACCTTTTCCACCTTGGGCATCCCTCGCTGGGGCTTCTTCTGAATCTCTGAGAGGACGACGCTGATGGAGTCGTAGAACCAGTCGGCCACTTTGGTCGGGGAGAAGAAGTAGTTGGTGGCACCGTTGATGTGATCGACGATGGTACAGCAGTCCTTCCACTTACTGATCGTTCCCTCGTCGAAGAGCCGCAGGCTCAGCCATGAGTGGCACAAGGCCGAGTGGCGCATGTCGAGTGTCACAGGCTGGTTGCGGTCGTGCAGCTTAAGGGCCGGCACCAGAAGCGTGAAGTCCATGTCATAGTCGGTCCCCCGGGCGTAGACGTTCAGCTCATCCAAGTCCAGGTCCACCACACCTTCCCGGACGCCTCCCGAGAGCAGCAGGTACTCGTTGGCCACTGGCAGTTTTTGGTCCAGTTTTTGCACCATTCCTGGAAACGGAAAAAGAAGACACTATTAGAGGGTGCACAGGCACAGAAAGGCTTCCACATCAGTCCAGGCTGTTCTGAGCATCCAAGATTCACTCTTCATTCACCCCTGTTGTCAATTATAAAACCAAAGCTCCGGAGCTGCAGAGACCTGGTCAACAGGCTTCCCCACACCGCACAGGAAGGAATCCAGTCTTCTCTAAGTGAAGGTCTATGATTGATGTTTCCTGTGCAGTAAAAAGCATTATCATTTTTGCAATGCAGTATACATTATTTATCTCCTCTTTTCTTAGGTTTCCCCCCAATGGAAGAATTTTTTTTCTTTTCAAAGAGAAAAACAAATTGGGGAGGGAGGGATGGGCAGGAAGGAAAATATGCAACAATGAATGGGAAAAAAATAAATGGGAAGAATATGCTGTAAAAAATATATATGATGCATTAAAAAATCATTAATAAAAAAAGAAAACAAAAAAAGCAACCCCCCCCCCCATACATACACAAAAGAAATGGCTCCAATAATAAGGGTTTGAAACAACAGGGAAAAAAATAAAAGCAAGCATTATCATTTTCTATCATAAACTGGGGTTCATCTTCATTAGTCATCACCCCTCACCTGAGCTCTGTCAAGCTGTCAAGAAAAGTTTCAACTCTACCTTGTCCTGCAGATGCCAAATCTAATCCTACCAACCTCAGCAACTTCTCTCACTTCCTTATTCACTCTCCACTTCTGGTGCCATCACAGGTGGTCAGGTTTTTTGGGTCTCTTGCCCAAGCAATGTTCTCGCTCCTGCCTCTTCTGCTTGAACTTTCCTGTTTATCATTAGTTCTCTAAGGAGGGGCTGCATACCACTTAGGGTCCTGGGGACACTTAACAAGAGCCAGTGAAACCACAACTTGTAATACTGGCACGTCTTTGGACTAGAAAAGTGCTGATCTTTCAGTGAACTCGAGTGGTGTAGTCCACCGTGCTGAAGCTGTGTTGTGTTGCTTACCCAGAGGCCACGGTTCTCTGGTAGTGTGAATTCACTCATGGTTCCAAGGGAGAAAGATGGGCAGTCTGCTCCTGGATTCACAACTTGGGTCATATATGAGTCTGGTCTGACTCAATGGCAACGAGTTCAAGATGGTCTTTAGTATCAAGGCAGTGGCCTCAAACTGTTCTAGCGAGCACTGTGTATTAGTGCACGTACACATTACATCAGTTTCCATTAAGTCACTGATAAAGCAGAAAATGTTGTAATTTTATTACATTCCAATTCTCATCTAAACATCTTTCTAATTAATACACAGTGTAACAAAATGGCCATAACTATAAAACACTTCCACTGCATACGAAAGTACAACAGCCATCTTCAGGAAAAAAACATTCGTGAAAAAGCATCTTTTTAATGCAAGCTGGACTAAATGCTTTGTTCAGAGAACACCATTTTTAGGTTAAAGAATAACTAATAAACTATGATCATTCAGACTTGGGTAATTAGCAAAAATTTTCTGAGAAAATGAGCCATTCCTTCAGAAAGCCACTGATAATATACTGACAAAGAGAATACTGGAGTTTTGAAGAGAATATTAGAAAACAGAAAACTCATACTGGGAAAATTACACTGTACGCTTGACATTTTCCCAATTTTTTTTTTCTGATGAGGTTGGTGGTAATAGTATGACGTGATTTTTAAAAAAAATGAAATTGTGAACCTTTTGAGGATGAGAATAATGTATTAAGTTGTCACAGGGTTGGTATGCAATAGGCATATCATCAAAGCTACGACTGATTTGTCATGATGTGGAGACTCGTGTGTTTCTGTGATGCTGAAAGTTATGCCCTTGGTATTTCAAATGCCAGCGGGATGACACATAGCAGATGAGTTTCAATGGATCTTCTAGACAAAGGAAGACTAGGAACAAAGGTCTGGACATCTAGTTACCAAAATTAACCAAGAAAAATGTTACAATCAAACACCATGTGGCTCCCTTGTTTTGGCCACACTGCCAAATTTAGTGTTCAGTTCTACAAAACATTCTCTGAAATCATATTTTCCCAACTGTATCGCAGACTCACTCATCACCAAAGAACTGGAACCAATTCATAGCTGACTTTCCAGTGGGTCCTCTGAGATGACACTGCATGGAGGAGATGACCCATCCATCTCACTCAGATGCCGATGGATCTAAACCAGAGAGGTGCTGCCTTTGAGAAATGCAACTCTCTAGATCAAAGTCACCTGAGCTCCCCAAAGATACATGAAAAAATTCTTTACCACATCCTCCCATACAGATAGGAGTATAGATCCTCATTACTCTTTAAGAACACATCAGTTAAGTCAGCTAACATTACAAAATCAACAATGGATCAGAAAGAGAAACTGCTTTAATGGGTCCTTGGGCTGTTCCACAAAATATACACACAGACATTCTGATTCACCAGCAAGATTTTTCCAATGATCGATGCTGGAAGTATTATCAGCAGATAATTCTCTTAGGAGTTTTCTTGGCTACAAAAGCTTTCTCAATCAAAGTCGCACCTGTGTGTATCTGTAAATGTCATTGAAGGGTTGGGGTTTGGTTTTGGTTTGTTTTTTTTTTTTAGAGAGAGGGAGAGAAGGAGGCATGGTGGTGGTGAAGGAAGACGTGCATATGCAATAGCTGACCAGCATGGTAGTATGCAAGATTAAAAGGCTCTGAAGGCGCATTTCATAGCAGAGTTCCTTCCTCTTGGGTACAGAGAGGCTCACTTTGGGTCTTCAGGAAATTCAATCTCTCCTTCTGTCCAGCACTGCTCTGTCCCTCTCCTTCACACAGCTGTGGATCCCAAACGGCTCCTTACCAAAGAGCTCCCATCACAGAAGCTGCTCAGAGAAACCCACGCTAGGGCACTGCCTGTCATTCAAGCAAAACGAGGGAACAAGCAAAACCCCTTTCATTACAGATTCTGTTTACAAAGATTGCTTTTCGATTTAGTCCTTTTTAAAAAGATTGAAATTTATCATATAAACTGATTCCAACATCTATTCCTCAATTTTCTTGTTAAGATTTCAATACTAAACTCATCTTCACTCCCATCCTATTTGAGCTGTAGCTACACAAAAGATTTATTAGCTATAAAGCTGTTGTTGTGTGTTGTTGACTTGTAACCAACTCATAGCTAGCCCTCCAGCGGGTTTTCAGAGGCTGTAAACGGTGCAAGAGGATGATGGCCATCTTCCTCGCTCAGAGCAGCAGATGGATTTGAATTGTCTGCTTCAAGGAGCTCTGACTGCTTAGTGGTAAGGAACTGTGCTGTCAACACAAAGGTACACGGTTTGAATCCCCCAGCTGCTCCATGGGACAAAGATGTGATTTCCTGCCTCTGAAAACCTGCTGGAGGATCAGCTATGGGTGGGTTCAAACTCAACAGTACACAACAACAACAGCTTGGGGTCTGGCATCACAGCTGTTTACAGTTAATAGAGATTGAGAAAATCATTATTACAGGCCCACTTATAAATGAGAAACTCTATTTCAAAGAGCTACATTTGATAATGCAGTAGTTTTGTCTTCATTATTTCATTATTCATTCTTTAAATATTAGTATTAAATATTCTTTCATTTTTTTCACTTTGAGGTGGCTTAAATATACAAGTGAAAAACTATCTAATATTGTGTAGTAAATAATACATTAGGTAAGACTATTGTTAGCTTCAGTGGAGTGGATTCCAGCACAGGGCAACATCACAGGGCAAAACACAATGCCTCTGGGGGTTTCTAAGCAGTAACTTTTTTTTTAAAGCAGTAACATTTAGAGGAGCAAGTTACCCTTCCCTTCCCTTCCCTCCCCTCCCCTCCCCTCCCCTCCCCTTTCCTTTCCTTCCTTCTTTCCTTTCTCTCTCTCTCTTTCTGCCACTTAGCAGGCCTGAACTGTCAACATCTCTGTTAATAGATGAGTGTTTAACTAGGGCTCTTTCAGATTGTATTAGAATGAATTAGAATTGTTATTAGGGCCCTATATTCTAGTCTCCTTTAGCCCTTTAAAGAACACAAAATTCTATCTGCAATTCTCATTTAGCCTGGATAAACCAGCCTACTTCATCTTTCCCTGGAATTCTAAAGATAATCCACCCAAGACTTCAGAAGATAACAGGGAATTTATTCCTAAAGCTCAGTGCCCTAGTAACTGTAGGGGGGGGGGGAAATGGCATTAAGGTCTACTTAAATGGAAATTATTAAATAAGCCAAAATAAAAATGTTAATACCTATCTGTCCAGGGACATTAGCAGATTGGGAGACAGTTTTCTGACTAAGCAAGCCAGTGGCTTCTGCCTGGGATGAAACCAGCTCAAACTCCCTTCTGCCCTCTCCTGGATGAAAGATGAAAACATTTTCATAACTGTCCTAAACATTCCTGTCCAAGATAGAATATCCGCTTTGCTCATAACTCTTTTTTCTGCACCTAGTTAAATATTGATCTTCTTTTCAAAAGTGCCATAAAATATATTTTGTAACATTATAACAATAAAACATCACGATAATACTGGCTTGTCTTTTTAGAGAGCATTTTAGCAGGATACTGCAAAGGTTTATTTGTCAGGTGAGGGATGTTAAGCATCAAGGTCCACAAAGGTATTCCTTGTAGCATCCACACTGACATTTGGTGTATCTAAGCTCACTAGTTTCCAGTTTAAAGGTGATTTGATGACATCAACTGGAGTCTTCTACAAGCCTAAGTCCTCTGGAGGGAGAATTTTCCTCAACCAAGTTTAAAAGAAAATGAGCTGACATCGGCTATCATGGAAAAGAGGGTTGCCACACGACTAAACGAAAGATGTGGTCTGAGTGCTGGTGGGATACAGACAGAGGAAATTCCTCCCCTCTCGTCCCAAATCAATCACCTGTCTACTCTGGCTTACGACTCAACAAGTACTATCTCTATCACGGGTCTTTTGTGCAATTTCATTCAATTATGAGAAGATAAGGGTCTGTTGAAATATTAGTTAAATTGTCCAATCAATCAATCACTGGAAACAAAG